ACAAGCTGGGAGAGCGCCTGAGTTGCTTTCTCCGTGAGAGGAACCCCTTAGAGCCCGGGCGAGGGGGAGAGCTCGCCCGTGAGCTAGGCCTTTGCTTTCAGGGTGACCATGGGGATCCCCTCAGCGCTCCCCCGCCGCCCTGCCTGGAGCTCCTGGGCCCAGCTGAGATGGCTGACCAGCTTCCACAGGAAGATCTTGGCACAGCAGAGCCCGACTTCTGCCCCGGGGACACCTCAGGATAGGAAGCCACCAGGTCTGCCCGCAAATGTGGTTTCCAGGCCGTGGGGCCTGAGGCCTCGGGGCAGGAGAGCGCTCCACGGAGCCTCGTCCAGCTGCCAGGAGGTCATGCTGACTAGTGAGCGGTACAGCGTGCGGCGGCTGCCCTTCTCCCCTGTGTCTGACAGCGATGTGGCTTTCTTTGAGCACATAATGCCCGGTAGAGTCATCACAAATCCAGAGGAATTGAAACCATTTAATGTGGACTGGCTTAAATCAGTCCGAGGTAAGCGAGCTTGTTTAGTTTTCAGTTTTGGTAAAGCCTCTTTTCTGTTTCCATTACGGTACCAGAATTAAAAAGCCTACCAAAGAAAATCTCATCTCTGTTTATAGCAGAACATGTCTTTACAGAGCAGGCAAAATGAGTTTTCCTCCTAGAAAATATTCCTTTGATAATTACCCAATTTCTGGTAATCTTTCAGGCTTTTGTTGAAAAAGAAAAATCTAAGCCCTGTTAACTTATTATTTTTTTTTCCTGAAACAAATTGGTTCAGTAGCAGTTCCTGAAGTTTTGGCTGAGCCTCAGAAAACAGGTGTTGTGAATGTTCTCTTACTTCTGTCAAAGATTTAATGAGAATTTAAAACATGTGCCATTGCCCCCACTGGCAACCAAGTACACTGACAAAGCTTTTACAGTGCTCTAAGGAAAGCCCACTATTGAAAATGTTTAGTTTGAAAGTGGTTAAAATGACTAAGCCTCAGAATGGAGGGGGTGGTGTTGTTTCAGATGCCGTGCTTTACCACCTTTTTCTTTCTGACCTCTGTAGAGCCCACAACTTGCTTTGAGAGTCCCTTGCTTTCATTGCAGGCTGTAGCAAGCTGATGTTGAAGCCACAGACAGCAGCAGAGGTGTCTCAAGTTCTCAGGTAACATGTACCTCTTCTGCTGGTCTTTGTGGCGAGGAAACGCGGGTTTATTCTGGGAGGGTCTGGCAGGTGAAGGGAACATCTAGATGTTCAGGCGCTGTTTGCTCAAGCACTGGTATTGCTGAATCTGTTTTCTTCCTGCCTGTGTGTATTCTGCTTGAGCTCTGGTGATTTCAGCGCTCCCTTCTGCTCTTTATGTCCCCATGTTTCCTGATGTACCTTTTGTTCCAGCTGCTCCCAGGACAGGAGACACTGCACGCTGTTGTTAGTCCAGGGGTATGCAGGTACTGATGGGTAGGCAGTGTTGCTTGTCTAAACAAACTTACAGGTTCCTAGTTAGGCATGTTTTCACATGGAGAGCTGAAATTTTTCAAGGCACAAAGAGAATTCTACTTGTGCCTTGTATTTCCCAGGCCCAGTGCTCTCCCTGGCCCTCAGCTTTTCTGGGGTGATTGTGTCGTGTCAGTATCAGGAAGAAATAAAGGCCAAACTTTCACTTTGTTTTACAAAACCAAATCTGTCTTTCGTGGCCAGATGTCCTTGCAAAGGCCATGCAGGCAGCAGCAGCAGCAGACTTCTCAAGTCAGAGTTGAGCAGCCCTGAGTAGAAGGGTCTTAAGAGTGCTTAGTGTAGAGGAGAGAAACGGAGCAGGGGAGAGATCAGCAAGTGGATTCAGCATTGATGACTTTTCTGCTCTACTAAATTATCAAAATTAGACACTGTACCAGTGCTCAAGCGGAGCAGTTGTGTTGAAGGGTTCAGGAAGGTCTATCTGAAAAGCTAAAAAGGTTGGGCCAGAATCAGGCAGTTTGAGGAGCTAATGTTTTGTCCACGAGATCAGTAAGAACACTTCCCTGGTTCAGGAGCATGAGTGCAGCTCCAGCTGGGCATCTGGATGCAGGATTGCGATTTGGTGGAAGAGCTCCAGGCTGCACAAACCTGTGCGTAGCTCTGTTAAAACAGATACAGAGCGTAGTAAAGTCAGAGCTGGTGCAGTGCGGCTTTGTGCCATCCGTTGTGCAGGAACTCCTGTGAGTTTGGAGAGGATGTGATGGATGTTGCTTTGCAGGGGTGTAGCAGGCTGGAAGGTGCACATGCTTCGCTGCCTACAGGGCATTAATTTCAAGGGGAGGAGGAGGGAAGTAACGGCTTAAACCACTGCCAGAGGTCGTTTGTCAGAGCCCGCTGAGGACGTCACATTGTTAGCAGAGACTGCTGCAGACATAGCTTACGTATCAACAGCGTGAGTGGTGATTTCCAGGCAGAAGTTACCTGGCAGACCTGTAGATGTGTTCGGGGGGCAGCCCCAAGTGTTCATTCCTTTGCTCAGTTCTGGGGTGAGTTTAGTGAGGAGTTGTGCTTTTCCATTTTTGCAGTGAAACTGTCCCTTTGTATCAATTTAATCTTTAGGCTAAATGCTGCTTAAAAGTGCTGAGCACTCTCTCGGCAGTAGACTGTGATGTGGAGGTGCAACTCTTCTGATAGACTGTGTTATGGCCTTGAAATGCGTAAGACTTGAGAAACCTTTTTTCTTCCAGGTACTGCTATGAGAGGAATCTGGCAGTGAACCCACAGGGGGGTAACACAGGCCTTGTTGGGGGCAGCGTTCCTGTCTTTGATGAGATCATTCTCTCCACTGCTCTCATGAACCGGATCATCAGTTTTGACAAGGTGTCTGGTAAATATCGTAGAGACGTGAGGTACAGAAACGAGCCCCGGGCCCTAAACCAGCCATTTTACTGGGAGATGATAACTGCAGGATCAGCAAGGTCAGCCCAGCAGCATCCTGAGGGGCATCAGAGGTTTGTTTCATCCAGGCTTTTCCTACTGATGTAATCCTTAGGTTATAACAGTAGCAGATGTAAAAATACATCTGGTGGCAGAAGGAGGAAGAAAGAGAGAAGAGAAACATGGACGTCCTATTATCTGTTCATAAATTAAATGAGAAACCCAGCAGGTGGAGCAGAATGAGTGTGTCAGAGAAGGCACCTGATAACTACACTAGCAGAGAGAAGGGAGAGAGGGAGAAAACTCACAGGTCGTTTGGATTTGGAGAGTTAGGAGTCAGGCTGGTTTGAATATTTCAGTTCTTAAACAAAGAGAACAAGGCAGAGATACTTCATGTCATTGTGTTTTACCTCTCCACAGTTGTGGATGACCAGATGTTAAGGCAATGGCAAAGCTCCCCTGGCTTGAGGAGGGATAGGACAATGCCCTGTAGCATGCACAGGCTCCTTGTGTGTTTAAATTGAATCCCAGAAAGTTTTGGAGGAAGAGGTGCTTGCATCTACTTGTACTTATCCCGCCTCTTTAGGAGGCACCTTCTTCTTGGGCATCAGCTTGTAGCAGGACGCTTCTGTTTCAGGAATCCTTGTGTGCCAAGCTGGCTGCATCTTAGAGGATCTCAATGAGTACTTGGAGGAGCAGGGCTTCATCATGCCGCTTGACTTGGGAGCGAAAGGGAGCTGTCACATCGGTGGTAATGTGGCCACAAACGCTGGAGGCTTACGGCTCTTGAGATACGGCTCTCTCCGAGGGACAGTGCTAGGACTGGAAGTGGTAAGGCGAGTACCTGGCAGTTCTCTTCTGTGTTTGAACCTCTGCTTACCTTGTTCCTGCTATTCTAGCCCTCAGCTATCCACCATTCTATGATTCTGTGATTATGCAGACAAGTTCCTATCCAGGCTTACACTCTTTAACTTTTCCTTGTGTGGCTCTTTCGAGAAGGAGCAGCAAGTGTCTTCCTGCATGTGGCATCTATTATTGCTACCGCAGCTTCCACCTCTGTCCTTACTGACAGAAGTGATATTAGGTGGTTTTCCAGTGCAGAGAAGTAAAAAAAAAAAAAGGTAGGGAGAGGTTTGGTGATCCCAAGTTACCTGCGTGAGATTGGTTCCTCTGTGGAGCGGTGGGTCTCTGGAACACTCTGCGTAATCCATCCTAGAACACTGTCTTCTAGTGGCTGCTCGCTTGCCTTTTAATAGAGCGGCCTGCTTTGGGTTTGGTTGGCTGCTGGGTTTCTCCCAGAGTCTTTCCTGTTCTGCAGCCTGCTTCTATGCCTCTATGTGTAAAGGCTGGGGTTAGCGGTTCTAAAAGATTTCGGGGCTTGGGAGCAGAGAAGTAATAGGAAATAAATTGGGTAGGTGACAAAAGCCTGGTTTGGTTTTATTGTGTAGACCCAGAAAGGAGAGCTTTTGTCTTTCAGGTTAGTCCCTCTAGCATCAAAACAGCCTTTAATAATGTGTCTTAGAGACATTTGGCCTTGATTTAAGGCTCGAGTGGTGGAGAGCTTCATTCTGGTTATCTGTTCACTGTTTCAAATAGCATTCCTTGTTTCTATTGAATAATGGAGCTGCAAAGAGCATCTGATCTTGTCCACCACTGGTAAGAAAAGCAGAGCAAACTTGATCTTCTGTTATTACTTGTCCTGCTGGAACGTGTGCAAACAGCACTGTAAAAAAAGAAGCAGAAAAGTTTGAGGGAGGACTCAGGTGGGATATAGAGGGGAGGAAGAGCTGGGAATGGAGGAACAGTGATGAGGCTGTGGGAACAGGCTGCAGCTGGTGTCCACTGCTCAAGTCTGGTGGCACCTTTTTGTCAGCCTGGTAGTAGACAAGCTTTGGCTGGGTCTCCGTATTCCCACAGGTGCTGGCTGATGGGTCAGCTCTGGACTGCTTGGCGTCTCTGCGCAAAGATAACACTGGCTATGACTTGAAGCAGCTTTTCATCGGATCCGAGGGGACCTTAGGAGTTATCACTGCTGTCTCCATACTGTGTCCTCAGAAACCCAAGGCTGTGAATCTGGCGTTCCTAGGTAGGAGCTGATATTAATAGTTTCACAGCGGAATTCAGAGGCTGGGAAGGGAATAGGGATGGAGAGAAGAAAGCACTGATCGGCTTCAGCGTCACTACCAACATCAGCTTGTTTCTGAGAAATAGTGTGGTGCTGTATGTACCACATAGATATACCTCTGCAGATAGTTTACATCTCTGGTGTAAGGGTGTAGAATACCTGCAAGGACAGGTTGCTCTGCAAGGGAAGGTGAGCCAGGAGCGTAGCAGGGTGGAGAGGCAGGCAAGGCACTCCCCTCACTGACAAGGGCCCGGGCTGGCAGTACCGAAGCAAGGTGAGCAGGGCAGATGTGGTGACGGCAGGCAGAGGCAGCCGCAACCCACTGGTCACTGACAGAGTCCGCCGTTGCAACGGCAGGCAGAGGCAGCCGCAATCCACTGGTCACTGAGTGAGTCCGCAGTGGCAAGACAAGGCTGGGAAGTCAAGCCTGCAGGTCAGGGTCTGGATCAGCAGGGTATCTGTCCAAGCACAGCTGCTTAAAAGCTGCTTCTGAGTGAGAATAGAGTTGTTTGTGGGGAGCCTTCACTGAGACTGGTTGTTTTTTTTTTTTTGTCCTCAAAAGCCTCCAAGGCCAGCAGGGGCTTTTCAGACAGCTTGCTCATATCAGGTGTGGCCTTGAGAGCACAGCGCTAAACTCCTAGGAGGGGATGAGTAGACTCCAAGTACTGACAGTGCTATGGAGTATGTGCAGTGGACCCTGGAATTTGCCTGGACTCTCAAGTGGCCTTTAAATCCCTCTCAGGCTGCCTTCTTGCCTGTGCTGAGAACTGAGGGTGGGGCAGACGTTTTGGTATGAACTGTCTTAGAGTATTCAAGAGGTCCTTGCCACAGCAAAGACTAATTGCCATGTCCTCCTGCTGTTCTGCGCTGAAACCTTCCCCAGCTCAAACCATGACAGGAACTGCTGCTCTAAACCCACACAGGGTAGCTGCTTACATTTTCTACAGACAGGAAAGATGACTTGAAGCCTGACCGATTTTAAAAACTTTTTACAGGGTTTTGGGGGGCTGTATTTTGTTTCTGATTGCCCTCTGTGTTCTATCTGAAGGGTGTCAGAGTTTCTCTAAGGTTCTGGAAACATTTACAGCCTGCAGAGCCATGCTGGGAGAGATCCTGTCTGCCTATGAGTTCATGGATGAGAAGTGCATGGAACTGGTTGAGAGACATCTCAAGCTGTCCAGCCCAGTGACAGGTACTGGTGTCATTTGAGGCATTGTACTTCTTGGGGATTTTTAGCCTAGTTTTATGTGTATAAGTTGCAGAGGGCGAAGGCAGCAACTGGGTGAAGGAAGAGCCACCAACTGTAGAAGACCAGGTTTGAGACCATATAAAGAACCTGAAGGTGCACAAGTCCACGGGACCTGATGAGATGCATCTGCGGGTCCTGAGGGAACTGGCAGATCAAGTTGCTAAGCCACTATCCATCATATTTGGGAAGCTGTGGCAGTCTGGTAAAGTTCCCACTGACAGGAAAAGGTGAAACATAGCCCCCATTCTTAAAAAGGGAAATAAGGAAGACCTGGGAAACTACAGGCCAGTCAGTCTCACCACTGTGACCAGCAAGATCATGAAGCAGATCCTCCTGGAAACTATGCTGAGGCACATGGAAAACAAGGAGGTGATTGGTGACAGCCAACACGGCTTTACCAAGGGCAAATCATGCCTGACAAATTTAGTGGCCTTCTATGACGGGGCCACAGCGCTGGTAGATAAGGGAAGGGCAACTCTCATCATCTGCCTGTACTTGTGCAGAGCCTTTGACACTGTCCCACATGGCATCCTTTGTCTCCAAATTGGAGAGACATGGATTCGACAGAAGGATCACTCACTGGATAAGGAATTGGCTGGATGGTCGCACTCTGAGAGTTGTGGTTAATGGCTCAATGTCCAGGGGGAGACCGGTCATGAGTGGTGTCCTGCAGGGGTTGGTACTGGG